TATACAAGAATACAAAATAAACCTTGCTTGTAGGAATTACTCTAAAGGAGAATATTATATTTACAAGAAAGATATAAAGAGAACAGAGGTTAAGTGAAGTAAAGAAACTTATAGAATTGGCAAAGAGAGGAAAAGACACCCTTTATATATCTTTTTGCCTATAGAAAGAATATATAATATACAGTAAATAAGTAATAATTGGCAGGAAAGAAAGTGAACTTGTATGGGAGAAGTAAGAATTATGTTAGGTAAAAAAGGTGATTGTGCTGAGTGAAGTAAGTGAATATAAACATTACTTATCATGTTTATAGTTTGTAAGAGGAAACTAGATAACAATATTTTGTATTTAAAATATTTAGAATTTGTATAAAGGAATTAAAAGTTCATATAGTGGAAGAAGGTATTCATGTGAAAGAAGAAGGTGAACTTGTGTTACTTTTTTGTGTAATATTTTTGTAAAACTCAAAGAACACTTTTGTATAACCGTGTGTAATTTAAGATCATGTAAGGTTATATAACTGCATCACACTTCCAATAGCCAATCAAAATGTTTCTATATTAATATTATATAATATTCTATCTAAATATTTTTTTTTTTTTAATGTTAAGGTGACCACTTTGGGGTCTGGCACATTTTATTGAACTTTGATTCGAATATCAGAGCAACCACATAAGCTACCCCTGACTTTGTTATATTAACGAGGGTACAACTAGCTATATGTACAACTTTTGGTTGTCTATTTAAGCAGTCTTGCATACGTAACCTGTATGAACTACACTAGATGCTATACCTATAACCCAACTAAAGAGATTATCTATTTAAACCCTCTGATTAACTTAGCATCGTCGGATATTCTCCTCAAAAAGTGACTGCTGAGAAGGCCCCTTAGGACTTTAAAGCAGACACATACTTCCATATAGGGGGGTCCTTTATCCTTGTGGTAAACCTACCAGAGCGGTCTATGTCCCACACATGTATCACCTAGATTTTCGATAACTTATGCCTAGGCCATGGCCAAGTATTTGCGGCTTTTTACCTCTGCTACTATTACCTACTCTGTGCCCTTGCAAAGTTCACCCAAACCCCAGTACACACTTTACAGACTATTAACAGTACTTTGATGCCAACTAACAGTGCCCTAAACTCCCAATCCAGATGGTCCGGGAGGGACTAGTGGGCGTCCCCTGGTATTCTGAATGAATCCTTTTTCCTCCAGCTGTTCCGGCGGCCTGGTTGGTATAGTGCTTTTGCCAAACACTTGGTCCTTGTTCAGTTTACTTGCTAGTGTCCGGTTCCCCAGATGATAATCTTTTACGTAGTACCATCAAAGATCTGTGCTACCTCTCTACTTGGGACTTTCCAAGCGGGCTTCCGTATCCCCTGATCCCTTGGATTAATTTGGCTGCTTTACTCGTGCAACTTATACATTACACTACGTTCTACAACCTCCCAATACGAGTTGGTGAGACCAAGATTACAGATGCTTACCCAATCGATATGTCATACAGTTTAACCGTAACGCATTTCCGCAAATTCGAATTTCGTCGCTGGTAGGATTCGAACTCTTGTCCTGCCGCTTGGAGATGCGACAACTTACCAACTACACTAAGTCGCCACACCCTTTATTTTATCTAAATATATAAAACTAATATATAATAATATAATAAATATAGTATATCTAATATTTTAACTATATAAAAAGGGAAAAATAAAATAGTGACCTGTTGCCATGTGACTCCTATATAATTAGCCAATTAATTTTAAGATTGGCAATTAATTATTTTGTTTATTTCAGAGTTTGCTTTTGTTGTTTCACTTTTTGTTTTTCACTTTTTTGCTTTTGTTGTTTTGTTTAATTTCAAGATCAGGTATGTAATTTTAATTTTTTTTATGCTTTTTTATTGTCTTCAATTTTTTTATTTTTTTATATATTTTTTTTTTGTTTTCGTTGTTTTGCTTTTTGTTTTTGTTTTGTGCTTTTGTTGTTTTGCTTAATTTCAGAATCAGGTATGTGATTTTACTTTTCTTTTTATTTTTTTTTATTGTCTTTTCTCTGTTTTCTTTTATTTTTTTCTTATCTTTTTTTTGCTTTTATTGTTTCGCTTTTTTGCTTTTGTTGTTTTGCTTAATTTTGAGATCAGATATATGATTTACTTTTCTCTTTGTTTTTTTTATTGTTTTTCTCTGTTTTCCTTTATTTTTTTACCTTTTTTTTTGTTTTCATTGTTTCGTCTTTTGTTTTTTGCTTTTGTTGCTTTGTTTAATTTCAGGGTCAGATATATGAATTTAATTTCTCTTTGCTTTTTTATTATCTTTGTTTTCTTTTATTTTTTTTTTATTTTTTTTATTTTTTTATTTTTTTTCTTTTTTTTCTTTTGTTTTTTTCTTTATTTTTATTTCTACTATTCTTTTTTTTTTGTATCTTCATTTATTTTGTTTCATCTTATTTTTTTTCTTTCATATTTTTCTTTTAATTTTTTTCACTTTTTTCTTATGTTTTTTCTTTTTTCGTTCTTTTTCATTCTTTATTATATTTCTTCATCTTTTATCTTTTTTTTTGTTATTTTTCGTTCTTTATTGTATTCTTTCATTTTTCATCTTTTTCTTTTATTTATTTTTATTTTTTTTCATTTATCTTTTTTATTTTTTCTTTTATTTATTTTTTTTTGTTTTATTCTTTTCTTTTTATTTGTTCTTTTTCTTTTCTTCATTTATATTTCTTTGTTTATTTTTTCTTGTTTTATCTTTTTTTTTTGATTTCTTTCTTATTTTATATTTCTTTTTTTTTTTGGTTTTTTTTCTTTTCTGTTTTATTTCTTATTCTTTCTTTTATTCATTTTCTCCTTTTTTGTTCATTTTTTGTTATATTTTTTTTATTTTGTTTTTTTGTTTTTTCTTATTTTCTTTTTCTTTTGTTATTCTTTTTTCTTTCATTATCTCTTTTCTTTTGTAATTCTTTTTCTTTTATTATTCTATTTTCTATTGTTATTCTTTTTCTTTCGTTATTTTTATTTTTAATTTTTTTTTTGTTCTTCTCTTTTTTTTTATTATTTATTTTTTCTTTTGTTTTTTCTTTTTCTTTCATTATTCTCTTTTTCTTTCATTATTCTCTATTTCTTTTGTTATTCTTTATTTCTTTTGTTATTTTTTTTTGTATAACCATAGTAGAAATAGCAAAATACTATAGTGAAAATAAACATTCCCTAAAGAAATTATATTATTTAAACTTTATATCTATAAGATACTAAGAATAAAAACTCAGACAGAGCCCTTGCTAACTTGAAAATTATAAGAATTATCTGTAATCCAAAACTATTTTTATTATTTATTTAATACTTTTATTAAATAAAAAATATTAAAAAATTTTAATTTTATAATTAATTTAAAAGTTATATAATTTATCACATTTGTATTGTAACATATTCACCTGATCAATCAATCAGATTATAAGATCAGGTGTAATATGAAATCAAAAAAAAATAATGATATTTTAAAAAAATCACTTGTTATTTATAAGTTGGCTTATAAAACTACTCTTTGTGTTCAAACAAAAAAAATTTTTTGTAAAATTTTGAATATATATTTATAATTAGAGATTGGAACTATTTAATCATTTAAAAATTGCTTCATAATTTTGGGCAGAATTATGTTAATTGTGGACCAGAATTATTTTAATAATGGCCAAGTTAAACAGTTAAACAATTAAATAATTAAACAATTAAATGATTAAGAAAAATTTTAGGTGGTTCTAATTCCTACTTACAATCCAATCTAACCCAACATTAGTACAAACCCTTACTCTAAATTAATGTGTTGCTTGTTTTGATTTTACATTACATCAGATTTTATGAGTATATTACAATGCAGGTGCAATAAATAATAAAATTCTTAATTTAATATATTATTATACAATTAAAAATTAGATTAATCAATTTTATATAACATTATATTTTTTAAAAAATAAACAAAATCACAAAACTTTGTTTATAAACTACTAAAAAAAGTTTTTACAGTCTGCTCTCTATATAGTCATTCTCTATATAATCACAACCTCTTTATAAACATACTAATTTTTAAAACAACCATATATAAAACATAAGAGATTTGACCTCTATACAGGCACAATTTCTTATAAGCACAGAATTTTTTGGAACTGAAGGTGTAACTGTAAAGAGGTTAAACTGTACTAAATTTTACTACAGTATATACTATATTTTCATTTCTAACTATATATATATATAGATATTAATCTAACTTAAGTACGTATGTATATATTAAAAAATACTTTTTTTTAATTATGTATTGTAAATTGCAAGTAATAATCACCTATAGTAATTTTAATTTTAATTTTATATTGTAGATTACTAATAAAATTGTAATTTTTTTAATTTTGTAAACTGATTAGTTAATTACCTATACAAAGTTTAATAAATTATAATTGTTATTTTGCAATTTGATTAATTGATTATTTACACTATGCCCTATCTAATAATACATTGCATTAACAGTAAATTGATTTTATAAAAAGCTATTTTTTAAAAAAATTAATATTTTTACCAAAATAAAATAGTATCACATAACGCTGCATTCAATACTCGGAATATCAATTTAAACATCCTAATTAACTTGGTTTGTATTCGGAGGATGCTATATCAAAAAAAAACGAACAAACCAAAGAGGTAATTAGTCTTGCAAGCCTAATTTATACCTGGATATCCCGGATATAAGTCTGGATTTCTAAACAATGGTATTAAGTGCACCTGGGTCTTAATTCGGATTACGTATAAACTTCCAGATGGTCTTTCCCAGTCAGACCATTTAACCGACATCATGCCGCGTGAAAATTCATTAACAAAATATATTACAACCAACAAAATGCAAATGTCTGTCGGGAAGCTAAGCGACACCTCTTAATTCAGGGTATATTTAGAGGGCACTGAATGCTATACGGTATTGTTAATCGCGAATAATTCAGATGTCAGGATGCACAACTTGCAAATTAATCTCGCAAAAATTCCTTATCCCTGCCCGGTGATGACTAACAAATTTTTAAGCCTTAAAAATATAAGTGACTTTGAATAAGTGCTATTGATCCGGGGATTAAATTCTGTTTCATAATGACAAATCCAGTTGCCTCGTAACATATTCATATTCATCAGAATCAGATGTATCTATTTTAAAAAATAAATTAATATACACTATTTTGTTAATTTCAATCGTAAGATTATCTATATATACCTTCTGATATAGCTGAAGTATTGATTGCTGAAGTTACTAAAAGTGTGGAGCCTGTGGTTGCGGATTCTACAAAAATGAAAAGAAAGTAGAATATAATTAATCTAAAATAAATATTGTCTGTTTCTAATTCTTTAATCATCTAATATAGTACAAAAATGAAAACTTTTGAAATGAATAATAAGTTACCATTGGTTTTGTCGTTATTAAGGACTTAAATATTAATACGTAAAAATTAATTTCATGCACAGATGTCAGCAATTAAAAAACAATAATAATAGAATAATAGAAAAGACATACCAGTTCTGTAGGTTTTATCACGAGTTGTGTCATCATAAGAAGCAAAATTCAATCGATAATTAATTGACAGTGAATTTACTGGCATAGGAAGATTTTGAAATCTAAAGGATCCACTCGTGTAAAAGGCAAGTGGATGTGTCTGCGTTACGGATCTACTAGAAGCCTGACTACCTGGTGGCGGCATGTTATTATCGGAGGCTATGAATGCTAAACTTTCAGGCGTCTCTACTTTGTCATAAAGATTCCAATACCAATCATCTAATACTTTGACCAATTTTTCAGCCTTAGGCCGATTTTTTGGGTTTGCATCCCAGCAACATCTCATCAAGTTTACAAAAGGTTTAGGAGAATCTTTTTCGATTGCCGGTCGTAAACCAAGACAAACATCAAGTGCAAGATAAGCGTCATGCGAACGATCATCAAAGGGAGGTATGCAGGATAATACATCATACATTATAATTCCAAAACTATATACATCAGCTTTAGGGGTATATTGATCACCACGTAAAATTTCCGGTGCAATATAAGGAAGAACGCCATAAATTACTTTTCTGTTAACTAAAAATTGTTTTTCAGCAGGTCCGGAGAAACCCAAATCAGCAATCTCAGCATCTTCACTCAGTAAAATATTTCCACTATGGAAATCCCGATGAACAAACCCAGCTTGATGAATTTGTTTAAGTCCTATGGCAACTTGTTTTAAAATTTTAAGTTTTTGAATCCAACTGAGTTCACCATAATGTTGATCCAAATAAGATCTAAGATTTCCTTTATGTGCGTAATATAATACAATGATATAGTTTTTGGAAACGGGGTCTCGAGATATTCCATAACATCTAATCAAGCCATAACCACCACCACATTTTAAACATGCTTTTATCTGATATAATTAAAAAAAAGTTAATAATAATAATAATAATAATAATAATAATAATAATAATAATAATAATAATAATAATAATAATAATAATAAAGAAATGATATAGATAAAAATTACCTCATTAATAAACGCCGGAGTAATTTTAGAAGAATTATCCAAAGTTTTTAAAGCAACTTTCCATTTTTGTTTCCTCTCCCAATCATTTTTCTCAGAATTCCAATGTACAATAAAGCCATTCGTCCAAACAGCAGAATATACAGTGGCAAACCCACCTTTGGCGACAAATTCAAAGTTGCAGAATTGATTATGAGGTATCCATTCTAATACGTTATTATGACTCATTGCATTTAATTGGATTTCTCGAATAAAGTTATCGATATCCTTATTTCCGCTTGTCCAGTTTGTAAAGTTATTACGAAAACGATTTGAATTACATTTTTGACACCAGTTTTTATGAGTATTGGGACCGTTGCATGTTGAACATGAACCATATATTTTACGAAAATGTTCTTTAGAATTATTTGAAATTCCTGGTAAGGTATTCCGTGAATAAGATTTATTCATTTTAATAATTATGTTTGGTAATTAAAAAAAAGATTTTTAATTACGAATTAGGCTATATAAAGTTTCTCATAACCCAGCCGGCTCAGCTTTTGTAAATTTTAACAGAAAATTTTATGTTATTTACTATTAATGCTTCTGGATTAGTTTAAAAAAAGAAATTTTTTTAGAAGTTTTTAATATTTTTCTAGTCAAAAAGTTTATATAATTAAAAATTAAAAGTTGTGTCATTTTTAGATGAGAAACAATTGTTTAACTTCGTATCTATCGGTATGGCTTTATATACAATAAATTATAAATTATAACCGTTACCTGTTACGGTAATAAGCGCCAAGTATTACACATAATTTTTTTTCTAAGCTTATATTGTTTAGGTATACGTACGTACAGTAGCCAACAAAAGTAACGCCCGATTTGCAGATCACCTCACGTGAGCAAATAATTGGGGGCAATTTTTTTTTATTTTTTGCTTCTTTTACGTTGGAAAAACAAGCCCAAAGAGTCAAATAATTTTTT